AAGTCGACAGAATAGCTTAACTACCTAGACTTCACCTTGAAGTGAAGACAGGGGAGGGCAGAGAAAAAGCAGAGGAGTTGGGAGAAAAGGTCAAAGAAACTTAGTCCAGGGGGTTGGCCAGAGCGAAAGGCAAGGGTGAGAAGCAGGTTGGGAAGCTTAATTTAAAACTGAATAATTTTTGCCAATGTAAAGTTTAATTTGAGAGATCTCATTCTTATTCATAACAATAACAAGCATAGAAGATCTACTTGAGAATTTTGGTGGTTATGAGTTCCTAGCAGAGAAAGAAGAGATGGGTTTGGGAGATCTGTGGCAACCCAAAAGGCCCCCAGAGCAAAGACTGCTGTCCCCCAATTTCAGCTCCTGGGACTCTGCACGTGAGGTAGCACAGGGTGGTATCGTGAGGAATCCCTTTTCTTGTGAAGATCTCTCCAGCTCTATTTCTAAATTCAGAAGAACATACAAATGCATTTCCTTCTACAGAACTGTTTGTGCTTTAAGTGTGTTCAACTTAAGACACACCAGCAAAATCAAAGCTGAAACCCTTTGAATCAAGCAAACACATCTTCAGGAAGTATCCTGTCTATGCTCAATATCCCATTCGATGTCTATTAGACATTTGGGGGTGCATAAGAGGCGAGATGTCATAACTTCCTGCAAAGATTTTTCCATGCTAGTGGCAGATGAAACACTATCCAGACAGAATTAGAAATTACACAAATCCAATCTGCATTGATGCTATTGTTGATGTTTTTGTTTGAGACAGGGTCTCCCTGTAGCCCCAGCTGGCCTGGAACTCACTATGTAGACCAAGCTGACCTCCATCTCACAGAGATCCATCTGCTACCCTGTCTCCCGAGTGCTGGGATTAAAGGCATACACTACCACATCCAGCTCCATCTATATTTTAAAGAGAAAAAAGACAGTGGGACCTGGTGGTACACACCTTTAATCCCAGCCCTTGAGAGGCAGAGGCAGGTGGGTCCCTGAGATCAAGACCCGCCCGCCGTCTCTAGCGAGTTCAGTGAGACTACCAGGAGCCATGTCTCAGAGCCTTCAAAATAGGACTCCTGCCATATTTGTAAGAGCTTTAGACCTACAGTAATTAGTAAATAGGAGATGTGCTTATGAATTTGTTGGAGATGGTTTTTACATGTAAGGAATGTTCAGAAGTTAAGGCTAGTACATTAAACCTGTATGAAGCAAGTACTTTGGAATTCCTTAAAGACAAATACTAGCCCATTTCACAGAACTCTATCCGAGAGTCTAACTCTTAATAAGACTGCACCAAATCTTCCTAAGTTGTTCACAAGAAAATGTATTTCTAAAACACCCCTTCAGCAAAACCTTGAATCATAAGGCATAGCTGACCTTTAAAATTGAAGTCACCTTGAAATTCACTTTTTTTTTTGTCTTTTTGAGGCAGGTCTCCCTGTAGCCCCAGCTGTCCTGGAACTCACTATGTAGACCAGGCTGGCTTTGAACTCACAGAGCTCCGCCTGCCCCTGCCTCCCCAGTGCTGCGATTAAAGGCGTGCGCCACCACACCCGGCGAAGTTCATCTTTATAAGTAGCTAATTGCCAGGAGTAGATAAAGGAAATGTGGTGTTTACTGTCATCAATTTTTTTAAAAATTATTTTATGTGTATGAGTGTTTTACCTACATGTATGTAAATGCACCACATGTGTACAGTGCTTGTGGAGGCCACAAGAGGGCATCAAATCCCCTGGAACTGGAGTTATGGACAGTTGTGAGCCACCGTGTGCATGCTGGGAGCTGAACCCAGGTCCTCTGAGAGCAGCCAGTGCTTTTAACCAGTGAGCATCTCTCCGGCCCTGTTGTCACTTCTTACCAAGGTGTCCTCAGCACCACTGTTGACGTGACTCTTACCTTAGTTTTGTAGCAGATACAAAACCAAATTCTAGGATGACGTGTTGGGAAAATGAAGGGTACAAAAACTCCAGAAAAACAACATTTCAGATAAAACATTGTTAATGTAAGTAAACTCCTACCACTTACAGTCCACATAATTATAGCTTAATCATGACCTAAATAACGTTCGTGAAGCAGCAGAAATTTAAATAAAGGCAAGTTGGCGTAAGTATTCTGGAATTAAGGAAATAAAACTCAATCTGTTCATATACCACTCAAACTATTTAGACAGAGGGATCTGACATTCGGTTAAGCACCTAATATATTGAAAAATGTGTAGAGTTAACTCCAGAAGACACAGAGTGACACTTGAACGTGAAAAGCATATTCTTTTCCCCTCTGGCTTTTTAATCACTGTAAAGTATATGTTTTGTTTTGTGTTTTGTTTTTTGTTTTGAGACAGGGTCTCCCTGTAGCCCCAGCTGGCCTGGAACTCACTATGTAGACCAGACTGGCCTCGAACTCACAGAGATCCACCTGCCTCTGCTTCCTGAGTGCTGGGATTAAAGGCGTGCACCACCACGGCAAAGTAAGTGTGTTTTGAAGAATGGGCTTGTGACACAGCTACACGATGAGCCAAAACCAAGGCTGGCGTTATTGTTCCTCAAAGTGCTTAAAGTTTAAAGTCAGTGTTGGCTTCTCCTTCCTTGGACAAATGTCAGTTTGGCCTCAGACAGTGTCAAGCTGAGGCTGTGGAGAAACTGAAGGTTTGGGGGGAGAAAGCATAACTCTACACCTTCACGGCTAACTTCAGGGCTATGATCTCACGCCTCATTCTGAACGTCAGGTGCACAAAGCGGCCTAAGCATTGCCTGCACACTGTGTCTGCACCACACAAGGACAAGGAATGTCGATGTTTCTAAAGTCAAAGTTGCTATAAAATGGTCCAAGGGAAGACTGAAGTCAAATGCTACTTTAATTTCTATCTTAGATCAGTTCATCAACGAAACATGGAACTGTGGGGGGCTGGAGAAATGGCTCGGTGGCTAAAAGTACTGGCTGCTCTTCCAGAGGACCCGAGTTCAGTTCCCAGCACCCATGTGGGGGAGCTCACAACTGCCTGGAACTCCAGCTTCAGAGGGTCTGATGCCCTCTTCTGGCCTCCATGGGCATCTACACTCATACATGCACACGCGCGCACACACACACACACACATACACACACACACACACACACACACGGGCATAATTTTTCAAATAAAATAAATCATAAAGCGGAACAAAATACTGAACTGTGGCTCGCAGATGCCCATCTCTACTAAACACAACTGAGTTAGGACCTCCTGTAAGAAATCACAGAATTCTTAAATCCAGGGTATCGCCTATGAATGATCTAGAGCCGAATTCTAAAGAAATTCCTCCTCTGGCCACAAAGCTTAGGGTAAACAGAGCTCACTGCGGACAGAAGTTTGCAAACGGGGTGGTCATCCTCAAAAGATATTAACAGGAGACTATCATAAAGATACTATCACATTGCTAGCCAAGCAAAGCCAGATACCGGGTTACTCCTAAGTCTCAACTAACTCTTTAAAGGGCTGAAAACTCTAATTCCAGAGGTTGAAGTGATAGTTCAACAAACTTGGCCTCCACGTGTCCTAGGGTTCACTCCTTACTAGAAGCACTGTCTCTTCTAGGTAACCAGTGTTGCTTCCCTAGTTGTCCTGTGGACTGTTGAGGGCAGAACTTTTTCTGAATTCACTTAGACAGTAGCATTAGCATACAGTAGGTGTATAAATAAAGTCCTGTTGAGATTGTTTATATTCTCTCATTTTCTGAATTTGTCCACTGAAAAGATTCAACAAAGCCTCTGCTGGGGGCAGGAGATGGCTCAGAGTTGGGGTGCTCCCAACTCCTACCT